CACATTGATATGCGTTATCACTACATCAGAGAATGCATCGAAAGAAGGGAGATACAAGTGCAGTACGTGAAGTCTCAAGACCAAGTTGCAGATATTTTTACCAAGCCACTGAAGAGTGAAGACTTTATTAAAATGAGAAGTTTGCTTGGAGTCACAAAATTAAGTTTAAGAGGGGGTGTTGAAATTAAACTTGGTTTTAGTTGTTTAAATAAAGCTTAATTTCTATAAGCTTATTCTAGAATATGTGGTAGGTATGAAATTATTGTGTAGTACGTGTGGTAGGTGTGGTAGGTGTTGAATTATTGTGTGGTAAGTGTAGAATTATGTGTAACCATTGGATTGTAATTGTGGTGGCACAATCCTAGCCATTAATTTAGGAGGTGTCACTAGTATAAATAGGGGTGGAGTCTTTGAGTTTGTATTAAGCCAAGTTAAGGTGATAAATAAGAGTGAAGCTTCTTCCATAAGTTGTGTTTTTAGCCTTTGTCATTTCCTAAAAGTTTCTCCATTCCAACATAAGTATCCTCCTACTATTGAATGTATCATCTACTGTTCATTTCTATATTGCATTAAATTCTCCTTCAATTATCGAAAATGACATTATTTATAATATTAAAGGTTTCATGGTGAATTTATTTCAACTAGGTCCCATAATTTCTCCATCTTCCTAACTTTCAAATAAAAGATGCTCTCTAAGAGTTTATCTCAACTTTATTCATGTGATCAGGATTTTTGTTCAATACTAGAAAGATAAACCCTCTCCACCCCCATAAACATGTAACATGCAACAAATGGAGAAAATATTTCCTTCAATAATTTCAAGTATAAAAAATCTTACACTGGACATTTTCTGACCACTAAAATTAATCTTTTCAAACCATGAGACCTTAAAATCTTTGCATACTTTGTTTTTATGTAAATATTATAACATGTATTCACGACCATCGCGAGCAAGGCTGTTGTATGGTTTCATCTTTACAAATTTGTGTCGTAAAATATTATCAAAAATAAAATTACTCATATTTCTGTAACTTTTTATGTAGGAATTGCTTTAATGAATGCAAAAATCAACTCAGTATAACTTGAACATCCATTGAATATAACTTATTAAGCTTAACTAAATTTTATCTTAATAATTATGTATGATAACTACTTTTCTTGATATATTTCACTGGATAAAAAAAAGGGTTCAGAGATCGTCTACATGATCTTGATTTCGTGCCGAACTTAAAAATAAATGCAGTGGTGGGTGGCCAAATCGTTCAAAGGTCTTTAATTCGGGTCTCGAAATGAAGCAACTCGTCAGGTGGCGGGGGACCGCGAAATGCTCCACCAATCTCATCGAAAACAAGCCCCCGATTTTGATAGCTCACAGTTGATTTGCCAACACAGAAATATTCCGTCAATCACATTATCCCGGAATAGATGGAGAGAGAAATAGAGAGGCAATCAGTTATTCTACAAAAGGGACGAAAATATTCAAATAAAAATAAATATCGAAGGGGACGCTGGCATGTGAGCACCTTGGCGTCCCTTGCGCTTCTGCCCTTCGCGTCTCCAAGTGTTGTCCCAGAGGTGGGCCTCAAATCGACCCGTCCACCTGTGCCTGCATTGCACCACACGTGTGACACACCAACGCTACGTTTAAAACATTCTAGAAGATATACAGTGCGTACTATTTTATTTAGTTCAAGGAAAAAAAAATGGCCTTGCTGAATCTATAGATCCCCTGAGCCTGCGAAGACTTCTGACCTTTGATGTAAAATTGAATAAAAATTGAGTAAATTATCCAATAAATTAACAATTTCACTAATGCACGCTGTTTTTTCATGACATTAAAAAAAAAAAAAAATTATTTCAACTGCATGCAGCATTTTTCAGATTTGGTAAAACAATTGCGACCTCTGCATGCATGTCAATTAAAAATCACATAACTGTAGCTTACCGGGTAACGCCGCGGTAAACTGACGTTCTCTGGGAAGAAACCAAAGAACCAACCGGCAGCTTCATGGAATCAACAGCTTCAGGCCGCTGCTGCAGTTGCGATAAAGCGAGGTCGGCATCGGCGGAATGATCGGCAAGACGGAGAAAATTGTTCCCCGTGGCTGACGAGGAGTCCTCAGGAGGAACACCAAAGCTGACCGATATGGGAACATCTGTGATGGACGAGGAGAGCTCCAACGCATCATCTACGGATAAATCGGAAACTAGAGGCAACGAATGGTGGCCGCCGAGGAAATCCTCCAGCTTCACTGCCCTGGGCTCGGAAGTTAGGAGGCGAAGCTCACCGTCCCCGTCGAAGTAAGAGGGGTCTGGAATGAGCATTTCGACCAAAGGTGAAGGGAAGGAGAGCCAATTCCTCGTTGGCGCCATATGCTGTCAAAGATTGCTGCATGAAGAAAGATATAACGAATGAGGGCTTTATGGCTTCGAGATTCTGAAGTATAATGAGATGATTAGGACTTCAGCGAGGAGAAAATGAAGATTTTCATACAGTTTTTTGATTTCCGACCATCGGCCAGCTTTTGGTGGCCAGTGGGAAAAAATATATAAAAACACATGGGGGTCTTGTCGCGCGCGGCGACAGGAGAGAGAGACAGAGACTTTGAAGGACTTATGATGTAACGGAGCGAGAAAGTGGAAGCTTGAAAAGCATTTTTAATGGATCATGCCTCTCGAAGGAAAACGGAAGCGAGCGAAGAAGAGCGGGGGGAGATGGAGTAATAAAAACATACGATTAAATTTAACATGATAGTATCATGACGTTGTGGCATATATATGCAGTTCGTCATACGTGGTTTTATGTAATAATGAGAAATGTACGTAATTATAGCATTTATTTTAAAGCGAATGGAAACAATTTATGCAGCTATTTAAAGGATAATTATTTCATAATCTATTATCAATTAAAAGTTTGTTTGGGATAACTGTAAATTATTTATAAAGATGTCATCCTAATATTATAAAGATAAATTGACTTGTTATTTGGTTGAGCTTATACAGAACAATTTATTGGCAGTTGTTGCTGGATAAATGATTATTTTGCTCCTGTTACTGTTCCTATGTTTTATGTCTTCTATTGTCCACAATAAGTGGAAGTAGAGCATAAGTGGGCATAATTGTTAATACCAGATTTGGTTAATGTAGAAAAAAGATTTACTGCACTTGTTAATATGTAAATATATAAATTTTTCTAATAAATTCAGTTTCATTTGCTATTTCTCCTACAAGTGTTTTCCTGGAGCAACAAAAATTGGGAATCACGTGAAAACAGGTTTATACATTGGGGTCGTGAGATCGAGTAAATGTATTTGAGGCTGGATCAAAGTGGCAACACCAGAAACACTTGACAGCTAGAGGGCTGGAATGAGCAGAAGCCAAAAAAAAAAAAAAAAAAAAAAAAAAAAAAAAAAAAGGATGGTACAAATGCTTACAGTGGACGGGCTTAAAGAGCTTCGATCCCATCTTCTCCCTGGAGCCTTTTGTCTTCCTCTTGGAGCGAGGTTTTGGATGCGGTTCGAGGTTTTGGAGAGCTTCGAGCCCTCTTCCTCTCTGCTTGGAGGGCGACCGGGATGGATTTGCAGAAAACTCGCGAGAAAAGGGGAGGAGATCGGGACGGGACGGGATCGGGGTCGAGGGTTTAAGGGTAATAATCTGGAACGATAAGCAGAAAGCGGGATCCCTCTCGGGGCCGAAATTAACGAAAATTTTCAAAGGAGCGGCATCGAAAGATTTTCTACCGTCATTCATACTCGCGAAATAAACACTCCTTCGTTTTAAAAACTCCCACCGCCCCAAACGGACCCTAAATGAGCAATTGGTCTTGCACTAACCTTTAAGGGGTTGTTGCATTATATTTGTAAGCTAAAAAATTATATGCACATATTTCGAGGTAATTTAACTATCTAAATAAAAATCATAATCAATGAAATGATGCCAAAAATCGATTATGATTATAAAAAAAAACATAAATACATGTAATTCTCCTATTAAAGCGGAAATTATCGAAATACATCATAAAGACCTATAACTTTCATGTTAAAGCAGAATATTAATGAAAATAATAATAATAACATGTAACTCTTCCATTAAAGTTAGGACAAATATGTAATTTCAGACTTGGTCTATCTTTCTCCTATAAATTGAGAGTCCATAGTATGTAAGAAACGAGGCTTTTTTCTCTTAACTTTTCTTATGTAAGAAGAACCATCTCCCCTTCTCAATATAACCACAATTATTTATATTTAAAATATGTCAAAGAGCTCGAGAACATTCCAATTTGCCCCGACTTGGCAAGTATGCGTGTTATTTTTATTTCTTCTTCTTTCTCTGTATTTTTCTCTCTCCCGCAAGGTCTCTACTGCTTTGATTATTGAGCATGACTTACAGGACAAATTTGGATTCAACATCTTAAAAGATGCAATGAGCGTGGAGCATGCTGACAGCAAGAAGGAAAACAATACCAATGAAGAGTAATACATCCCAAAGACACTATTAAAAAGGAACACATTAACGAGTTCATGTAACAACAGATCTTGAGCCAAAAACACCGTTTATGTCATATTCGTAGAAGCTTTGGCTAGAAGGCAGGCACAACCAAGCTGTCAACCATACTTTCATATCGCTTGGTCAATTCTAAGTGGCTCACACCGCATCCAAAAATTAAATGAAGTGTTACTTTACAACTTATCTTTTACTATGACACAAAATTTTCTAACATTGTCCCAAGTTCAACTGGCATTTGGAAAACTCGGTTCCGAGTAAGCGCACAAGAAGTTAATAAATAAAAGACTTTCCTTTGATGTAAACAAACAAAAAACTTCCCTTTGGGGAAAGCAAACAAATAACTCCCCTCAAGAGCGAGCAAAAAATAAATAAATAAATAAAATCCCCTCCGGTGCGAAACAAATCACTCTTATATAGGGTGATAAAAAAAATTTCATTTGAGGCGAGCAAACAAAAGACTCCCATCAAGGGTGGGCAAATAAAAACCTCCTCTCAGTGATGAGCAAAAAAAAAACTCCTATTTGGGGGCAGCAAAAAAAAAATCTTCCAAGATGAGCAAACAAAAGACTCACCTTTAGAGGAAGCAAACAAAGACTTCCCTCTAGGACCAGCAAACAAAAGACTCCTCTTCAAGGCTGACAAACAAAAGACTCTCATCCGATGTGAGCAAACAAAGCTTTCCCCTATGGAGCGAGCAAAAAAAATCCCCTCTAGGGTAAGCAAACAAAAGAGATCTCCATAGTGAGGAAACAAAAGACTCCCCTCCGAGGGAACGAAAAACTCTGCCATGAGAAAGGAATCAACGACGTGTCCTAGTAAATAGGATTTGCAAAGACTAAGACTCGAGTTGGATGGTATCATGACCGATGATTTCCCAAAAGGTGGGTCTTCAGTCGACACAAACAACCAAATCAACACAAGTGAATATCTTAACACAAGATGATTAAAGAGTCGATTCAAAGAAAAATGCTTATGAGCCGGTGATATAACACAAATGATGCTAAAATGGAGTGCAGAGAGTTCTTAAACATGAAGTATCATCGGTGATTCATGAAAACATATTTTTTGCTTTAAAAATTTTCTTGTCATTATCGTAGTTGTCGTTATCAAGTAGTAAAAAAATGGAGTCAATAATATGTACACAAAAAAAATTTGCACGAATCTCAAGATAATCTAATAGTCAGGATAAAAAGAGGTGACAAAAATGTTCTAAAACTTGGTTATAACTATAAACAGACGCAATAAAGACATGTAACTCTTCTATTAAAGCGGAGAATATAAAAATGTACCATAAGAACTTGTAATACCACTATTAAAGTGGAGCATTAAAAAAACAAAATAATAACCAGTAACGTCGCATTTAAAGTAAGGAAAATCATGTAAATTTAGACTTGCTTCATCTTTCTCTTATAAATAGGGAGCCTATAGCATGTAAAAGGGGCACTCTTCTCTCATTACTTTTCTCATGTAGGGAGAACTCTCTCCCATTTTCAATGCAACTATATTTTTTATCTATAAAAGGGGTCAAAGAGCCTGGAAACATCCTGGTTTGACCCTAAGGGGCATATCTATGCGTGTTATTTTAATTTTTTTTCCATCACTGTCTCTTTCTTTACCTCTCTGATCCTTGGGCATGACTCAAAGGATAAATTTGGATTCAAGTTATTAAAGAGATTTGACATATTTATCTACAAACAAAGGTGAAATAGAAATATTATTTTTTTTAGAAAAATATATTTTAAAATTTTATTTATACAAAATGATCTCTAATAAAAAATAATCTCTTATATTCAATAAATACTTAGATTGATTCAAATTATTTTAAACCTCGTACAAACCTAGCTTCTAATATGGCTAGAAATTGCATTTTTATCTTTTGAATTAATCGTAACAACTCCCTAGACTTACTTAAACCTAGCTATTCAAATTGTTTTAAAAACTTATTATTCATATGCCATCGTTGTTATTAATAGATTCCTACAACGTGCTCCCATCAAATAGCAAACGTCTGCTAAGGTTGTTGATTACGTTGATGACTTTCACTGATGAACTTTTGTTGTGAATCCCTTACCTTCTTTAGATGCTTCTATCCCAATAGCTGGTATTGCCTAAAAAGCTCCTGCTTATGATGCATCGACACTTCACTAAAAATAGTTGTATAATATCTAACATGTGTTAGACATGGACATGCGATATGCGTCAAACACGTGTTATACCCCACTTTTTATGCGTCTAATTTAAAAAATAAAATAAAAAGTGTGGATATTTGTCAAGATATATAATAGAATGCCACAAGGATTTAGAATATTTACAATGGTCAGATGTCAACGGTAAATATTAAAAAAATTGACTGTTGATAAAAATATGATGGTTTTTTGATAATTTTTAGAGCTTTAGCTAGTTTGCTTGTCAGTAATATCATTACCTAACTTTATGCTAATGGAATAACCATCAATAAATCATCAACTAACCATAAGATATAAAAAGAGTACTTGTAGGCCATTAGTTAACGTCAACGATATACCTATTGGTTATATGTTGCTTGACCGTAAGGTAATAGAATGACGGTCAGAGGCAGAAGGTTAATGCCAAAATATTTTATTTTAGCTGTCAGTATATTAATTGATGGTCTATAACCATTGGATCACACAAAACAGAGCAAAAAACTGTAAATGACCATACAAAAGCCGTAAAAAAATAGTCTTCTTTATTTCTTTATAATTTTCACACAACCAATTGTAACATAAAAACGAATCTAATTCTATATCACAAAATTTAATTTACCAATCTAAGCAATTATTAACTAAGATCATATGAAACGAAAAAATTAAACACAAAATTAAACCCAATTCATTAAAAAAATGAGT